GTCAGCAAGACCCTGCCAGACTCAGCACCAGGACTTCCCGAGGAAATGCCTTTTTCTGAGCTGCTGAGCGTGGGCTTTGTCAGAACAGTACTGGACAGTGGGGAGAAAGAGCAAACCGAGCGGCATGCACAGCCCGGTCCCGGAAATGCGTGTTTTCACGTGCATGGGAACATGCCAGGGCAGTGTGGGCCGTCGCTGTGGGTGCTCCTGGACAGGGGAGGCAAGAGGCAGGTGACGTTCTACTTCATGCCGTCACCTTGGTGTAAGGTTTACTATGAGGGTGACCAATCTCACCATTTAAATGACAAGTCTAATGACGCATCGGCTTCCTTGGCTGGTGGTCTGTGAAGCTGGCTACGCACTGCAGAGGCACTCCGGCTGGAGAGGGAACTGGGGTTCCAGGTTCCCAGGCACACATGGGGGGATCTCACCATGGAGGAGCTCCCCAAGAGGCACCTCTAGTTGGCTCCTGCTTGGTTAAAAAAAAGATGACCTGTTTTGCAGATCATGGGTCTTCGGCGTGCAGTTACATACAAGGGTTGGGCAGTCAGTGGTGGTACCTGCTGCCGTCCAGCTGTGGCCCTCACATTGTTCACTGGCCAGCAAAGACCCGGCTCTAGGAGCCTCCTTCCACTGTGGTGCTCTGGAGAGAACCAGGGCTTCACATCCTCACAGTGCTGCACCACTGAGCCACACTGCCAGTCTCTACTTGTTTTCTGCTTCATTTTTGATTAGACCATAAGAAAGTCAAAACGAGAGGACAGCTACTAGAGTGGACTAGAGTCGGTGTGCATAGAAACAAACTAGGGAATCGGGAGAAAAGCTGAGCTCCCTGGAGAAGCCACCAGAGTCCAGGCAGAGGGTGGGCCAGAGGCTTGGAGCACCGGAGACAGGAGCGCAGACAGGTCCTGTGGTGTGGCCTGTGGAGACGGCCTCCCGTGCAGCCCAGGCGCCTGCGGAGAGGCTGGGCCAGGCTGCAGCAGCCTCCCACAGAGCCTGGCACTGACAATCGCCCTGGTTTCCTCCGACTGGAACCACAGACTGGGAAGCCGTCCACCCACAGGGGGCCGGGAACCCAAAGAGGAAGCCTCCCCCGGGGAGCATATGGCTCCCCCTGAGCTGAAGCTGCACACACAGGGGTGCCATGCTCCACAGGCCGACCCCTGCCTGGCTGGACCCCCCCCCAGGCGGAGGGCGCTGTCCTCTGCTCTCCCCGACCTCTCTGGCTCAGAGTGATCCTTTCTGGGTGTCCTCAGGTTGGTTGACAATGACCCCCGATGCAGAGTCACCAGATGTGGGTCTCATTCATTACTCAGTGTGTGTGGAGCTCACGCGGGACGTGGTGCAGAGGGTACAGTGTGGGCACACAGAAGGGGTGCCGACCCCTGGGAGAGCAGAGCCTATGGCGGGGCAAGCAGGGAAACAGGGGACCCAGATCAGGGGAGGCTGGGGAGGGAGGTGGTGTTCCCGGGCTGTCGCTGGGGGAAGAGCGAGGCCCACAGAGGCTGCATTCGTGTGCTGCGAGATGTTGGGGGAGGCTGGAGTGCAGACTGGAGGCTGGGGGACATGAGGGACGAAATGCCCAGTTGTCAGAAGTCACATAGTGAAGAGCCTGCCTGGGCAGCAGGGCCCTCAGGCTGTGGCGGGGAGAGAGCAGGGTGGAGGTGGAGACGTCCATGTTTGGAGGCAGGTGGCTGCAGGTGGGCTGCAGGTGGCTGCAGGTGGCTGCAGGTGCGTGGCGAGGGGCTCAGTGGTCGGCAGGAAGCCTGCAGAGCCTGGATGGAGATGGAGACCATGTCAGGAGAGGCGAGGGGCCTTCAGCTCCTCCTCAGGGCTGCCTTGGAGGCCCTGATGTGATGTCCACGTCGGCCACTCCCCAGGTCTCCAGGGCTCCCCTGCTGCAGGTGGCCTGGACCCTCTGGCAGGGCCCAGGACCAGCACTGGCAGCAGTCACCCAGTTCACGAAGACCTTCTGTCCTGCCTCTGGGGAAAGCCCTCCCGGTGCAGGGAATGGCGGGCGCACATGGGAAGGTCTGAGCTCCCAGGGGTGCTCACAGCAGCGTCACTTCTTACAGGCTGTGTCACCTCACCTGGCCCAAGGCCCAGGCAGGAGCAGCACTGGGAGTACCCGTGCCTTCCTGTGGCTCCTCCAACTGAGGGAGGAGTCTGAGGCTGGAGGCTCCCCATCCCTGGAGGGCGCCCGCCCAGGACTCCGATTACCCTGCTCTCTGTGCGGGTTGCCAGCTCTGTGCAGTTCCCAGCCCTGCCATCTCGCTTTCTGCAGAGCCCTGGGAATTCTGGGGAGTGCGAAAGGTCGAGTAGTTCCCAGCAAACCCAGGGCGGGCGCGCTTCCTTCCTGTGGGTCCAGGGCCTGCTGTGCTCCTCAGGCCCCTGCTCAGAGGGCTGCGGTGCTCCTCTGTCCCCCGCTCAGAGGGCTGCGGTGCTCCTCTGTCCCCCGCTCAGAGGGCTGCGGTGCTCCTCTGTCCCCCGCTCAGAGGGCTGCTGTGCTCCTCTGTCCCCCGCTCAGAGGGCTGCTGTGCTCCTCTGTCCCCCGCTCAGAGGGCTGCTGTGCTCCTCTGTCCCCCGCTCAGAGGGCTGCTGTGCTCCTCTGTCCCCTGCTCAGAGGGCTGCTGGAGCATTTCTGCAGCACAGCAGGAAATCTAGCTTCCTTCCTTCCTTCCTTCCTTCCTTCCTTCCATGTCTTACTCACGTTCATTAATGAAGACACCTTCTCGAGGTCCACAATCTGACAAGGTGTTTCTCTGATCCGCGTCCTGCCGTCTGGCTGGGGTGGTCTGTCCTGAAGAACTGTCCAATTTTAGGTGCAGCCCAATGTGTCTGCTGTTCCCTTGAAGGTTTGCTCTGCCCTTCATTTCTGGTAGTTTGAACGTGATGTGTGTAAATGTGGGGTTTTAAATTCTGTGTTTTGCTCCTTGCATTCATCTTTCTTGAGATTGTTTGTGATTGTAAGTTTTGTTGTTTTTGAAAATTGTGGCTGCCAGGTTTGGGGTATCTGTCTGTCCTCTCCTCTCTCTTCCCTCCTGGGACTCCAGTCGTATGAGTTGGACACTTGGTGCTCCCCACAGCTCTTGGGTCAGTATTTCTGCTTCTTGCCTCCCCATGGATTCTCTTTGAGCCAGTTTGGTGATCCATGCACCCACCCTCAGGTGTGCCGACTCCTTCCTGGACGGCTGGGTCGCAAGGGCTGGTAGACCCAGCACAGCTTCGTTCCGACCCGTGGCTTCTCTTGTTTCTCTTCTCTTCTAGCTTTCGTCTCTGCCATTCCCATCACTGTGCACTGTTTGAGAGCACCGCGAGGCAGACGAGGAGGTGTCTGTGTGGACAACAGGGGTGCGGGTCACAGCAGCAGGTGAGTCTGGTTCTGCACAGCCGAGGGTGGGCAGTTCTCAGTGGTCACTTGGCACAGTGCCCGGAGGCCAGCCTCTGAGAGTGGATCAGCCACAGAGGTTCCCCATGACGTGGTTCAGAGCTGGAAGGCAGCTAAAGGCCCAGGCTTCCCCATCCCTGCAACCTGGTGCCAGGGACAGAGCAGTGTGTGGACCATCTGAGGCCCCTCAAGCGAGAGGCGACCGGACAAGATGTGAGCTGGTCTCTCAGGGCAGCAAGGCGCCCTCCTGACCTCCAGCTGGCCTCTCCTCTGCCTCTGAACTGTGGCAGGTGCTGGGAGTCACCTGGGCCACCAGAGGGGAACAAGGCCTCTTGGGGACAAGCGGACTCTCACTCCCACTGTCACCATGGGGACGGCTCCGCCTGGGCAGACTGTGTGGATCGAGTCCTGCAGGGAAGTCCTCTGGCGTAGAAGCAGGGACAGCAAGCAAGGTCTTGTTGGGCCCAGTTATTTCTAACTATATTTAAAATACGAGTTGAGAATTACCAATTTTGCTTCAAACAGTGTTTGACTATAAAATAAATTCTAGAATAAAGATGGCTTATGTAGTTTACAGGAGAGTGTAAGTGTAATCTGGTGATGGCTACACCTGGCCTTGCTGTGGGTGTGAGCACTCTTGTTTGCACTAATGGCTCCTCACAGGCCCTGTGCAGAGGCCCATGGGGACAGTGTGCCTGGGATCTGTCCTCCAAGACATGGGGATGCTCCTGTGGGAGTACCTGGGCTGCAGGGTATCTGCAGAAGAGGTTCAGAGACCCACCAAGAACTCATTTTGCATTCTGCAAACCAGCGTTCATGGGTTATTGGATTTACTGGAGCAAATCATTGCTGTGAGCGCCAGGCATGGAGTCAGGAGGAGGGGACATGCAAGGACACCTTAGTCTGGAACTTCCCTGCCTCACTTGGAGGATTCTGTAAGCAACACTGTGAAGCCCTGACAAGGGGCTATACCTGTTGCTTTCCAGTCATGTGGGAGAGGGGCAGCTGTGGAGGGGAGCCTGGAGACACCACCAGTCCTAAGTGCCTGCCTGTGAGCCGGGAGGTAGGCTGGGTGCCCTCAACACGGCCCGCCCTCCTGGGAGTGACCGTCGTCTTTCACACTCCGTGTGAATGGAGGATTGCCCGAATAGCTGAATCTGTCAACAATGCATCTTTGGGCAGATGCACAAAGCACATGGCACTACGTGTTTAAAGTTAGGTCACCTCCTCTCTCCTAGGAACAATGCCACCCGGAAGTGCACTCTGAAGTCGCAGTGAGCACAGGCCTTCCTTCTGGGACCCGTCACAGCTCCACACACCACCTCAGACACACCATCCCTCCCCAGGGGATCAGCTGAAGGATCCGAAAGACACCCATGCATCCGCTAGCTTTAAAGATCAGACACAGAAATCGCCCGAGCACCTTCCCCTGGTAACTGCATAACAAGCGATCACAGACCGGTCACTTCTAAACAGAGGACTGGGACACCAAAGGCTTGGCTGGAACATTTTCAACTCAAGTTTCAGCTGATGACGGCTAGCCCACACCTAAGGAGCTTTGAAGAGGAGCTCAGACACAGCGCATGTTCGGAGGAGGCACGGCCTTTCTTACGTTTGGTGGTCTCCAAGCGGTCTCTGTCCGAGGGACTTCAGCAGCGGCTCTGGTCGCAGGGCCACCGTCGGGGACGTTTTGGGGCTGGAGTCCGACTCTCCGCTGTCCTCATCTCCCATGGCTTTGATGTAGCTGCCGCTCCTCATCCTGCGGCAGGGGATCTCCTCCTCCTTGCCGCTGGACGGGTAGCCTCCCCACTCGTCCTGAGGCACCTAGGAGGAAGCAGAGACGTGCCCGTCAGGCGTGCCGTGTGGAGCCGTGCTCGGCGCGGGGGCAGCACCTTCGCCGCAGCTCTTGAAGACACGGCGGCGGGCGGCCAGTTACCACGGGCGGGCGGGCGGGTAGAAGCTGCTCGGCACCGTCGCCCAGCCCCGGGAGGATATTAATAGGAAAGGACTGGTTTTCTTCCCATTATAAAACAGAGATAAACACTATGGGGAAAGCGAGAAAATGTTAGGAAAGCAGAAGCCACAAAAAAAACCGTGGCTAACATTTAGATATATTTCCTTCTGCTGCCAAAGGAAATTGAAACTTGAGAAAACTGAAAATAGAAGGAGTGAAAGAGTGAAAGGAGGAGGAGAAAATCCTGTATTGTTGTCAATTTCCCCTTAGATGCAGCTACAGGAGGGGAGGCTCAGCTAGGAGTCAAGTGACATCATCTATGCAAAATCCTCGCACCCACACACCCTCCCACTCACCTCCTCCAGCGGGGGCTCCGGGCCGCACCATGGGCACAGCGGGCCCTTGGAGAAGCCCCAGCCAGGCCTCCCACTGCCTCTCTGGCTTGAGAGCAGGCCAGGGAGTGGCATCCACCCTCCGCACCGGGGACTTGGAAGAGGGTCTCCACGTAGACGGAAGGTCCTGGGTGAGCGGGTACTTCCAGTGTGACAGCCAGGTCCCCGCAGCTCAGGCCTGGCTCTGTCCAGGGGCTCAGGGGTTTGATGAGGACGCCGCGGCCAGGTCCACGCTGACAGCCAAGACACAGATGCTGCAGCAGCTCTGCCTCCAGGGCCTGCCTAGCGCTTCCTCGGCTGGGGGAGAGCAAGGAGGCCCCAGCCTGGACTTCAGAGCTGGGGGTTTTCCCTGTGAACGTGTGGATTCTGGGGTCCTGACCAGGGTCCTGGGCCTCGCAGCCCGCTGCAGCCCAGGTGCCGCTGGTCTGGTGCCCCCAGGAGGCGCGGTGGGGTGGCAGCTGAGGTAGTGCTCTCGGCTGGAGGTGCCTGGTGCTTGTCCCCTAGATAACATGCTGTGTGCTGCCAGCAGATGGTGTCCACCGGGGCATAGCTGGGAGAGGAGCCCAGGGACAGAGGGAAGAGGGCCCCTTGCCTCCCAATGCCTTCTGCACCTGCAGCCCCGCTGGGCGGGTACTCTGTTTGCCACTTGCTGTGGAAGGGCACAGCACAATGCCCCTCTGAAGAGTGGCACAGGTGGGTGGCTCCCATCTGTGGCTTTTGTTTCTCCAAACAGCATTCCCGAGTGGGCCCAGGGACACTGGGGCTCACAGCGACTCTGGAACCGCGTGTGGCACTGGCTGACCCCTACACAGCGCTGAGGAGGGGGCTCGGCAGAGTGGACACATGCAAACTCCTGCTCTGCCCCGACTTGTACAGGGCAAGCCACGATGGGCAGCTGGCTCAGTCCCCACCCAGCTGACCACTCTTCCTGGCTTCCACAGAGGGGTGACGGGAACACAGACCACGCTGGAAGGGCATCGTGAAATGAGTGACCTGGCCTCAAAACAAACGGTGAGCAGGTCACACTGCAGAGCCACTGATGTCACAGGCAGAGTAACACCACAGCCTGTGACACCCAGGGCATCTGTCCAGCAAGAAGTCAGCAATGGAGAAAACGTGTGTCCATGTGCCCTGCAGAGCCCTGGTCTCCCGAGATGCTGCCTCTCGACAGCTGCGTGCCTTGCACTGGAAGAAGGATGAGTGGTGAGTGACCATTCGCCCGTCATGTCACTCCTGGGCATGGACGCTTACCAAAGTCAGCCTTCAGTCGTCACAGACGCAGAGCCAGTGGGGAGATGGAGGCAGGGGAACAGCCAGTCCGTACCTTCTCATGCCAGGGAGGGGACAGGGCAGTGCGAATTTTGTGGCATTTATCAGAGGACGCGACTGCTCACGGGGCACCCCAGGACAGGAAGGTTCAGGCAGCATCAGTCAGTCACTAGTTAGGGTAAAGGAGAAACAGTGGCAACACCGTGTTCTAGGGGATGGCCAGCAATATTTATTATAACCATTCAATGGAGACTATTCGATGTCCAGATGATATTACAGAAGAGTATTTGCTATGGAAAGGTGCTTGTGATGAGGTGTCTTGGTCCAAGTGGCAGAGGCTACAGAGGTGAGGTAGTTTATAAAGAATAGAAGGCACTTGGTTCTTGGTTCTGGAGGCTGGCAAGAGCGTGAGGCCAGCCTCTGCTGACATGGGAGGGAGGGCTTTGCATGACCTCATGAATCCTGATCAGCCCAGGGCCACCTCCGGATACCATCATGTGGCTCTGGGAGTCCATCTCCAGCACAGGGACTTCTGGGGACACATTTGGACCCTGGAAGGGATGCTCGGTGTTTAGAGTTCTCAAAGCAGACGGCCTGCGTGTGCTGGGCAGACAGGGGAGGGAGCAGGCAGGAAGTCTCTGGGGGAGGGGCTGGCACGTTTCAGTTACTTTTCTTTCTACTTATATTTTCTAAATTTTTAAATGAGTCATATATTACTATTGTGATTAAAAAAAAAAGAACAACCCTTATTCTCAATTTAAGAAAAGTCATGGTCCTCAGAGACGTCACATCTCGGTGGAGGAGATGCTCATAAAATAAGGGCGTCAGGTGTGCCGAGGGCCCAGGGGCCCGTGGGGGCACCAGGTCAGGGGGCCACTGTCAGGGGTGGCCAGGGAGGCCATGCCCTGCAGACCCCACGCGAATGTCCGAGGAGACCGTGGCAGGAAGGGGACAGGCGGGAGACAGCAAGGAAGAGGTTCACTCGCAGGTTCATGGGGTTTCTTATGAATCAAGAATGTTCCATAAGCTTCCTCAGAAAACTGGGGATGGAACCCCCATTTGACCCAGCTGTCCCACTCCTTGGTCTATACCCACAGGAGTTAAAATCAGCCTACTACAGGGACTCGGCCACATCAGTGTTTATAGCAGCCCAACTCACAATAGCTAAACTGTGGAGCCAACCTAGGTGCCCTTCAACAGATGAGTGGATAAAGAAAATGTGGCATTTACACACAATGGAGTATTACTCAGCAATAAAAGATGACAAAATTATGGCATTTGCAGGTAAATACATGGAATTATAGAATATCATTCTAAGTGAACTTAGCCAATTCCCCAAAACAAAGGCCAAATATTTTCTCTGATAAGTGGATGCTGACCTACAATTTGGGGGGTGGGGGTGTGGGAAGAATGGAGGAACTCTGGATTGGGCAAAGGGGAGGGTGAGGAGGAGAGGGGATATAGGGGCAGGAAAGATGGTGGAATGAGATGGACATCATGGCCCAAGGGACATGTATGATTGCACAAATGGTGGGATGCTACATCGTGTACGACCAGAGAATTGAAACGTTGTGCTCTATTTGTGTATGATGAATTGAAATGCATCCTGCTGTCATGTATAACTATGTAGAACAAATAAAAAAAGGTTTCCATAAAAAACAAGGTAAAGATTCTCCAGCAGCCTGCAAATTAACTAACAAAATGAGGCCAGCTTGTGTGTCTCTGTGTCTGATTTAAGACGCCGACTTCACAGCCTTTGACAGAAAAACTTCAATACAGAAAAGTAACCAGAGTCAGTTTCTGGGTACAAATTCAAGAACAAAATACCAACCCCGAGGCACACGTCTCAGACTGTCAGAAGCCAGGAGACGGATCCGGAAAGCCACTGTGCTCAGTGAACGCCCTTCCCTGGAAATTGCTGGGTGAGAGCCTGCAGGCCGACGCATGGAGTGCCAGGGCTCTCCCAGCTCCCGTGAGCAAGGGGACGCTTCCTCCCCAGGCCCCTTCCAGCTCTGCAGGCCCAGCTGCGGACACTGGGTGCCACTCCCCAGGCACCCGAAGGGGGCATTTCTGAGGATCAACATCATGCACGTAGAGGGGTGTTTGTGCTTCTTCCTTTTGAGAGGCAAGGCCCAGGCCTATGGGCTGGATCTACGATGGCGTTCTGTTGCAGGAGTGAGACCAAGGAAGCTGCGTCCCCCTCCGGAGATGTCCTCAGTCCCCGACAGTTCATGTGTGTGTGTGTGTGTATGCACACGTGCGCATGTCACAAGCATTTCAAGGGCATCAGCCACTGGGACCTGACTGAGAGCCACGCAGCTGGGTTCCCACTCTCCAGATTTTTACAGCAAACGGCAACAGCCTGAGTCGCGCCCTCCGGAGCAGGCGTCCACTCCAGGGTCCATCGGGGTGGCTTCGTCCCCACAGTACTTGGGGAGATTTCTGGTCTGCAGGCGTCCAGCCGGGCTGGTTTTCGGGAAGCCTGGAAGTGTTTAGTGAGGGCGATCAGACGCACATCCAGAGACTTCGGGTTAGTTTCCCATCTGCCGTTCCCTGAGCCTCAAGCCTGTTTTGTGTGAAAACTAAGGCTCTTTGTTTTGTGTTTTGCAGCCTAAATAAAAAATGATTTTTTTTTTCAGGAACATAACCACCATGTAAATCAAGAGAAGAGAGAACATGGCTTCGCTGGCGCTTCACCAGGAACCGTTCACTCTTTCCACAAACCCCACTGGCTTGGCAGGCCTCTGGTGTTTGGGTTGCCCTCACGATGCCCCTAGGTCTGATCTGCAGCTCTGCGGCTACGGAGGTTCCTCGCCCAGCAGCAGGCTCCTGAACCCGGCATTTTTGTGCAGACTACATGGCACTCTGACATTTTTATATGAAGATGGGTTTAGTTAGGAGTTACTTTCTGACCTGGGGATGTCCTTCCATGGCAGAGCACCTGCCCAATGTGCTTAAGGCCCCAGGTTCAATCCCCAGCATCAAAAATTAAATTACATTAAATTAAAAAGTTTCATTCCTCTATTTTTACATCACGTTGGAGCTCAGACCATATTCGTGCTTTTCCTAAACAGTGCGTGTGCCGGTTGGCTCCATGCGGCTGCAGTTCAGGACGGTCGGGGACGTGGTGCCTGTTTACTGTGAAGGCACATCAGGCTGACAAGCGAGAGAGCCATTGTCAGTAGGGAAGCTGCATGACCAGGACACGA